CACCATATGGCGCATGAGGCTGATCATGGATCAGAAGTCCAAATCCCCATCATCATCCGAAAGATCCAAAGCTGCAACCAGAGGCAGAAAAGACAAGCTCCCAAAGAACGTCATGCCACGAGGAAAGCGTTGGGGAAGAACCAGATTCACTGAGAAAGAGGAAGTGACCAAGTGCTTCTACAGTCAGTCAGCCTTTATGTACGACATTGGTGATCGTGAAGAAGGAGGACAATACTTAGTGAATGGTGTCGAAGTCAACCCAATTAGCCGAGGTGTGAAGAATCGTCATGAGCTTGACTTGCTGATTGAGCGTGCGGCTGAGGAATCCCCGCCTGTTTTGCCGACCATTGAAGAGCTGAACGCTTGGAACCCCCTTGATCATGATGCTTATGTAAAATGGCTTACTGAAGAAAGAAAACAACATGGAAACAACTGGAATTTCAAGTACATCCAACCATTCACACACGGCCACAACATCGGTAAACTTCAACTTGCCCGCATCAACGGAGAAGAATATCTTGGAATGGGCTGGTGCAAGGTGCATCGATATGGCGAGAATGAGTGGATGGGCAACAAGTGGGAAAATCCGCCATGGATAGTTGAATTGTCAAAAAGATTCAATGCAGCGCTACGCCACTCCGTGGGTTGCGTCAGAGACAATCGAAATCACCGTGGACTACCATGCGACGAGGCAGGTTGGGTCAATGTTGAGTCGATCTTGAAGTACGATGCCATTTGGAAAGACCAACATACTTTGGCTGGAACAGCCTACGTCAACTACCCGATACTTGTTGAGAGGTGGAACAACTTCCAGAGAGTGATCTTCACTGAGTACAAGCAAACGAAGAGAATCCGAGCACAAGTGCTAGGACTCAAGGTCACGAAAGGTGAGTTGGAACACATCATGAACAACTTCAATGATGGATTGACCTCTAGACTTGATCGACAAACACTGAGGTTGGAGATCGGCACAGCAGATCGAGAGATTTGGCTTTGGCCGGTGGCAATCCGTGCCCCTATGGCGCATTCAAGAGTTCAAGGCGGTGTGCACATCGAAGACAAGAAGACTTCCTATCAGATGAACCCTGGAGTAGGATACACTCTTGGAGGAGGATTTCATTGCACCACATTTGACAACATCGCTCAAATCTTCAGAGAAGGACTACGTCCAGGAGGAGGAGGCGACCGCATCAATACGTTCTTCGTGCCATTCGCGCCGTGGGATGTGAGAAGTCAAATGGTGCTGAGATTCAGGAAGATTGATCAAACTGATCTTGTCTACATCTACATCACGTACGATTCCATCGCCAAGTTCTCCCCTCGATTATCAGCAGACGGACACATTTTGGTCCAAGAAACAATTCCATTCGAATCATTCGATGCAGTTTGGTATTACGACTGGAGGGAAAAGGACTACTACCGTCTCATGATCACGAAGGGAAGAGATCAACTTGTTCTTTCTGTGCAAGGTGCAAAGAGGGTGGCCACCATTGAACGATTTGACAAGCTCATTGGAAACATTGTGCCTGAAGAATCATCACCCGATCTAGACGAACTTCGAAAACTTGTCGATATCAGGACCGGTCACTTCAGTCATACTCACAGATTGTTCCCTGGACATCCGGATTGGAATGATGCAATTTCATTATTGGCAGTCACTCATCACCCTAGCAAAGAGGACCATCGACTATGCCCCGCATGTCTGATGGAGACCCCTGCGCCATTATCGATTTGTGTGATGTGCAAAGGATTTTTGGTGAGTCATGGATGGAGGAAACGAATCAAGATCACCGTGGCTACAGTACCAAGTGCCGAATCACATCATCGAGAAGAAGATCTCAAAGACCATGTCAAGAAAGCATGGGAGGAGGTGAAGATCGATTTGACAGGTGATGATGATGACGACGAGGTGATGCCAGATGATGATGATGTCACCATGAAGAGTCCAGAACAAGAAACTCAACCAGAAGAAGGAGATGATGATCAAGCCTCGAAGAAGGGCGACATCAATGATGAGAAAAGAGACTTCAGAGAACAAGATGAGGTCGACAAATTTCTCAATCAAGAAGGAAGACCGACCGATGAGAACGATGATGAAGAGATAGCGGTCGATGAAATCAACATTGAAGAGTACGAGGCTGGAGAAGCTCGTGATGCAGTGATTGAGTACCCCAAGTGGATGCAACGGATTGAGTTTGGATCAAAGGTCCTGCCGATCGAACCTTGCACAATTGGAGATGCTCAGCCAGAATTCATCAAGATCCTCCTGTTGCAGATTGGATTACATATCGTCAGGATCTACAGACTATTCCAACGGAACTTCTGTGGAGACATCGAGACGGCATGGAAACATTTTCAACAGAACCAGAAATTCAGGATGGACCTGGACTCAAGGACACCTTACCTGGGCGAGGATGAAAATGGTGAACTCATTGAACCAACTGCACAACAGATGAAAGAGCTCTACAAAGAGATCGGCCGACCAAATCAAAAGGACGACATCGGAGAAGAGGGATTCGTCAATGCATACTACGGGGCAGTGGTACTCAAAAGACTTCTCATATATACCCTTGAATGTGGCTACACGTATGATGACTTGCAAAACATATTCTTTGATGAGGAGATGGAGAAGCTGTCGAAGCGTGACACCACAATGGATGAGATGAGAAAGACCACAGCGGCCCGCGACGCCCTTGACCGACAAGACGTCATGGTCAGAAGAATCATTGCAGGTGCATATAGGGTAAATGCTGTTTATTTCTTCAGGAACGTTGACTTTCAAGACACAATCACACTGAATCCAGTTGACATTGTGTGTGCTCTTCGTCCACCACTTCGAAGAATATCACTTTTACACCTGATCCTTCAGAATGGCCGACAATTGCCACGACCTCTACTCCAAAAGCTATATGATGCGATCGATGACTATAATCACATCAAGCAACGGGAAGATCAACGACCAAGGTGGGGCATCCACTTGTCTGAAGCTCACATACTTGCGATTGCTGATACCCCGACTCCTGCTGATCGTGAACGTGCCAATCCAGCCGCTGGCAAATCGAAAGCAGCCCCGAAAGCTGCACCAGCACTGGGGAGAGTGTCGAAAGCGAAAGCATCATCGTCAGCGACATGGAGAACAGTTGAAACCGCTCCTCCGCCAAAACAAGCTCCGGTGACCCCGCCAAAGAAGGGTGGAAAAGATCAAGGAAAAGGTGGAAAATCTTATTCACACCGTGGCGGAGACTGGAACCATCAGGGATACTATGGATGGGGAAATAGATGATTAAGCGATCTGACCTCTGCATAGGTCCCGATTGAACCTGGCGATGCGAGGATGCAATCGTTGCTCGAGATTTACCTCTACTTCATTTTGAATGATTTCTGAGAGGACTCTGAGCCGGCTAATTTAGAACCACACATTTTTTTTTGAACATCATTGCATGAAACGCTGAGTTTCTACAGCGGTCTACGTCTCAACCGACGAAGGGACGGGAAGGTAAACTTCTAGTTCCATAGTCAACTTCGTGTTTTGATTTCTTTAATTCACATGCTTGAGTGAGACTCCATGCTGGCTACGCCACATTGGACGAACCTCAATGCTAGACACCGACTACGTCGTGTCTACATGCACGTGAACAGAACTTTCATTTTTTTTGGTAGAGATTGTAGCAAGCCGCCATGTAGATATGAAGTTCTGAAACGGACTTTAGCTCTCCATAATTCGATAAATGAATAGCTGCGAGTGTAATGGATCAATTCAAAGAACACTCCTTTGCGCGTAGCCAACAAAGTTGGCTATGCGTGGGGGGTGCGAATAGAGTGTAGGCTACGGATCACTGTATATATGCATAATCATACACTCTAGGATCCATCGTCAAAGGGGCACTCCGACATTGGCCTCTTTGGCTCAAGACATACTGCAGCTACAGGGAAAATGAAAGCCATGCGGAAGCTGCCGCCCTCGTGAGGTCATCATTGCAACTGCAAGTATCAACATCAATTACAGGAACATAATCGGGCCAACAATCCCCGATTCGCAATCTATCTATCTGTCTATCTATCTATCTATCTATCCATTGGTTACCTGTAGGTTCGTCCCATGTTGCCTTATCCAAACCTATGCCGGGCTTATCCGGGCCACGATGCCAGTGGACCCAGGTCTTTGTTGAAGGCCAAACTGGACATTGCCGGGTGATCTGGTGATCTACGCATTTTGAGACAACGCCAACGCCAAACATGGTGATACATGAAATCATACATGTGATGAAGTATGGGGGATCTTTACCCGTATTTTTTTTTGGCGGGAATTGAATTATGAGGTGATGTACGTATATAACTTGGGTGATCTAAACTTGAGAATGCATCTGCAACAACAGCAAAGAAACATATAGAAACACATATAGATCGAAAAACAACTGATGCCAATGCCATCCATGTGTGGTGTATCTAGGCTACGTTTGTACATTCATGAATTGTTCGTTACATGTTGGCAAAGCATGGCAAAACCATTGTGATATCGAAACTTGGATGTTGTCTGAGCTCAGGAATCGGTTTTCCTCTTCACATTTGATCATTCAGTCCTTAAAACATACCAGGCCCTCACTTCACCTCGCAACTTCGGAGATCCAACTGAAGACCCCGGTTGCTCAGCTTCCTGCAGATTTCAATCAGCGCTTTATGAATCGTTTTTTGGCTTTCCACCAAGAGGTGCCACGGAGCTGGAAGCTGACGGGAGGGCTGGATGTCAGATATAGAAATTGCTGAAACACAACTTGGGTGCATGGCTGCAATATGTGTTGGAAGCTGAAACAAGTCGAATCAGCCAATCCATTGAATATTGGACACCGGTCATTACCTTCCTGTAGTCTAAGACTGTGGAAAACCCACCATTTGCAGATCATCCTCCTCGGGAAACCATAGGTTTTGACCCCATGAATGCCCCCGAAGTCCGGAACCAGCCTTGGACCGTGGCACCGTCGCCAACTTTCATGGCTCAGCAGCTGTGTGCCGTGCTTGAGCTTTTCCTTTTCTGAGTGGGCACCATGAGGTGCAAAAATGCCTGCAGTTGGAAGATGTAAATGGTTTTGTCTGAAAAGTGTGGGAAACCACCTCAATGGATATATCTCGAGTGGATAGAATTAGTCGTCATAATTTTCCCAAAGATAATTTCCCTCCTCCTTCCTCCGCCGGACCTCAACTGCAAGCTCTAGATCGCAGCGCCGGACCCGAAGAAAAAACCTCTGGATCAGAGTGATCCCCGCCTGACCTCAACCACAAAGAATATCCGAAGATATACCAGGTAGAATGCCAGAAAGAATGTCTTAAGATATGGCATATACCAGGTTGCTTTGTTGCTAAAACTGAATGCCAGACAGAATGCCAGAAAGAATGTCAGAAATGATGCCAAATAGCATACCAAAATGAATGCCAGATAGAATGCAAGAGAAAATGTCAGAATAGATGCCAGAAAGGATGCCAGATAGGATGTCAGAATAGATGCCAGATAGAATGCCAGAAGAGAATATCATAAATTTGTGCCATATACTTCCAGATTAGATGTCCGAAACTATGACAAAATAATGTCATGGTGGGGATCACCCGAAGTAAAGGGGGCGTAAAAATCTTGAACAAACGCAATGGGGAAACTTGGAATTGGGTTGGTGGGCTTTCCATTGCCATGTTTGCTGTGATGCTGACTGGGTGATTTGGATGTATAAAATTTCCCTCGAAAATGGACTATTTACCCTAGTGATTGCCATTTCTGATCGCGCCACACATTGTCCCAGAGAGCCAACAAAAAATGGATTTGTAGAATGTTATTCTTGTTGTATATCACTCAACTAATATAGACCTCGAGAATCGCGAATTTTGTGAGGAGCCGTTTTGGAATTGGGTGAAGTTGGTCATACCAAGTCATACCCTAGTTTTTTCTTGGGATCCTGCGCTGAACTTTAAGGTTTGATCCTCATCATTCCAAGTTTTCCTCTGGTAGTCAAAAATAGCGTGCTGAAATAGTTTCCATTTCTAGATTCGATTAAGTTGAGGATGTTTGCCATTGCCTTTGAATATATCCTCCATTTCAAACATTTCCAGATGATGTTTGCCTTTTGTGCATGAAGTTCGGGATTAGCCACGAGGACATTGGAGGCTGTTTGTTGGTCAGATCCTCGTTGGTCAGCCTCTGGCAATTTAAGGTAGCGAAGTGGAAAATCACCATTTTTAAGAGGTAAAGCATCATTTTTATGATCTATTTTTATGGACCATATTTTGATATATTTTCCATAGCAAACTGTGTAATCACCAGAGGGTAGCAATTTCAGCTAGTTGAATCTACAAGGGACCCATATTCAGGGTTACACTGGGTTCGCAGGGAAGAATGATGATGAATCCCTGATTTTTTACACGTTTCCCAATCTTATCAGATACACCCAACCCTCAGATTGGTGGTTATACCCTGTGATATCCCCAGTATTGTTGGTTTATACCCCCGCAACTGTGTTGGTCAAAATGCCCATCAAATGCATGACCGCCATGACCGCCAGGACATGGCTGGCAGCCGCCCTGCTCTGCCACGTTGCTGCGGAGCAAGTGCAGGCGGGGATTGGGGAAACCTTGGAGGGAGTTCAACAAGGACAATCATGAGATCACGTGTGTTTAAACATGTGTAAAGCCATAAAACATGGACATTCATGGAACATTTTTTTTTTAAATAAATATATATATATATATGTGTATATATATATTTACATTTGGGGAAATTGATTGGATGGGCAAACCAATGACTTAATCTGCTATAATTGAGCGTTTCTTCGATTCAACAGCTAGAGTCAGCTACAGCTTCTGTTGCAGCGCTCACCATAAATCCGGATGGTCCTGGTTGAGTGGCTGATGCCAGATGGCTGATAAGAAATCTCGCTGGCCCTAATTGAGAATCAAGAAACGAACGCTTCCGTGTTGGATGTGTTCCCCACCTGTCAGGTGAGGGTTGTTAGATTTTATATCAGCTGTCCCGCCGCCGCCTCCTCCTTCCTCCGCCGGACCTCAACTGCAAGCGCTAGATCGCAGTGTTCCCCGCGGGACCCGAACAGCAAGCTCAGGATCAGAGTGATCCCCGCCGGACCTCAACTGCAAGCGCTTGATCGCAGTGTTCCCTGCGCGACCCGAACAGCAACCTTTGGATCAGAGTGATCCCCGCCGGACCTCAACCACAAAAAACCTCCGAAGATATACCAGATAGAATGCCAGAAAAAAAGCCAGAAGATTTGCCAGACTGTATGTCAAAATAGATGCCAGGTAGAATGTCAGATAGAATGTCAGAATAGATGTCAGATAGAATGCCAGATAGAATGCAGAATAGATGCCAGATAGAATGCCAGAATAGATGCCAGATAGAACGCCAGGTAGAATGCCAGAATATATATGCCATATAGAATGCCAGATAGAATGTCAGAGTAGATGTCAGGTAGAAAGGTAGAATGTCAGAATATATGTCAAATTATATGTATGTCTGTCAGAATATTTGCCTCGAAAGGCCATGGCGAGGATCACTCGAAGTAAAGTAAAATTCACTGCGATATTTATTTGTGTATTTGTTTGTTTTTTGTTTATCTTCATAGATGATGTTGTTTACAGTAAAAAACCAACAACCCTTTCCCACTAACAAAATGCACACCCACCAAAAGCGCTGGTTCAAAGTATCGGATCTCTTGATTTCCACTAACAAAATCAACGATCAGCCTATTGGAATCTGAGGTGCCCATGGAACATGCTCCTTATATTATATATATATACATTAAAAAAAAACATACGGTAACGACATTTAAATGTGGAGGGCGGGCCAGACCACAAGGTCTCGGAGATACTGGTAGTATGAAGCACCAGTTCCATCCGTATTTTTAAATGTATATTCAAATAAATTGGGTTCCGTATGTTTAAATGGCCAGGCGGGCCAAGGAAACCCTTCCCGGAGGTAGTCTAAAGTACGAGTTCGTATATTCAAAACCTTGTATGTTTATATAGATGTAGTTACCGTATATATATATATACATACATATTTACATTATAATATATATATATATTATACACACACACATATATATATATATACAGATAGATAAACATATATATATATATGGAGAGAGAGAGAGAAATACATAGATAAACAAATAAATACATAAATACAGTAATGATATTTTTTTCCATTTCGCAAGCGGTTCGATCTTCGCACGGTTCCCAGGTCCACATCGTTTGTCACACACATGACGACGTGGGGTGGCTGAAGACGGTGGATGAGTACTACACCGGCCAGAACAATTCCATCCAGATGCTCAGCTGATTTGATTGGGTTGGATGGTTGCTTGATCCTTCAGGGTTGAAACCCTTGTTGTGGATAGTGAAGTCTTGTGTGTAAGAACTAAGACATTGTCCGTCTAACAAACTATTGGTTGGTTGTTTTTCTGGTTCGTTGTTTTTTGTTTTTGTTTGATTGCTTGTCTGTTGTTTGGTCATGTTTGGTCGGTTGATTGGTTCGCTATCCGCCTGTCCGTGTTTCTTTGTTTCTTTGTTTTTTGTTTGTTTGTTTGTTTGTTTGCTTGCTTGTTGTGTGTGTCTGTGTGTTTGTGTGTTGGTAAGTTTGTTTTTTTTTTTTCAGTTTTTCTTTCGCGCCATTTTCATGTATTGTGAAACACGGTTTTCCTGGTAGCCAGTGGGCCCGGCTACGTCAGCGCTGTGGGTTTGTATTGCTGGATAATATTTGCCGCAACAAACAGTGCAAAAAAAACGCATCAGGCATATAGATCGCTGAAGATGATTTTTCTGTTTTCCAAATGGAAAATCCACTACTTGTGGAATCTATAGTTTTTGTTGTTCTTTTTTGTGAGGGTTCCTTAAGCAAATCCAAGTATGTTTAGATCATCGTACCAGTTACATCCAGTTACCAGGTTGACGTTGCAAAGGTGGATGGGGGCATGGTTTGATGCGAAGAAAATCAACAGCCAGTAGTCTGCCATCAATGATGGGATATTGTGTTTGTTTACCAACCTTTTACAACACACCAAAAACATGAAATGAGATCCCCATCGTATCCCCATGATATATTGGTCAAATTAGTTATACCTGGACCTCTTAACATCCGATGTGTTCATTGTTCATTGATCAAATCTCCATAACTTCGAGGGCAAACAACTTCATATGTTTGTTGCTTATGTATTGTTTATGTCTATTCAATGAATTATTCTCATTCTATATCCGCATCATCGCGGTCTCACACCCCCCATCATGTGTCCATATCCCCATCATATCCTCATTGGAAGCCTAAATGCTTGTAGTCATCAAGTGGTTAAATCGATGACGATGAAAACCCCCTTCAAGAGCTGCTTAATTTCCACTTCAATCCCAGGAGATCCGATAAATGCCCACATGCAGATTTTTGGTTGCTTATATCATGTTATATCCCCATTTTTATCCCATTATTAGTTTGTTATCCACATAATTTTAGGGAATCCCATATTTTTGGTTATATCCACATTGGTGGAATCCCCATAACTTTGTTAGTTAAATTCTCCAAAACAAGTCGGATGGGGGGCCTAGGCATGCCTATGTACACATGATTTTGGACACCGTGGTCCGCGCACTGGCGGCGGACAAGAGTCGCACCTTCACCTATGTGGAGCAGGTGCTATTGGAGCTAAGGGAATCCCCATAAAGCTGGATGATGGGACAATTTTCACCGGAAACCTCTATATTTGATGGTAAAAACCATGGTTTCCGGTGAAGATTTTCCCGCCAATCCATTGATTTATCTATTCTTTATGGGGTTTCAGTTGGAGCTACGACTTGAGTTTCCACTAGTTTTTCCAACCACCTGATAGTTCACAGAAGGGATATGGGCATTTGGAACCGAAATGGAGTTGAATAAAGAATTCTAAGTGGTTTTTCAATGCTTTGAAAACCCCGTTTTCGATGTGGTTCACAAGTTCTTTTCACCACACAAACATATTTATACCATTTTATACCTCAGTTTTAAGTTAAGACCTTGCTAACCATGTTTATAAGTTATGAAGTTATTGCCTTATGAACCAATATTAACAATATATCAACCAATGTTAACCATTCACTTCATCCATGGCTCATCGCCACAATCGTCAGGCCTTCTTCGTCCGTTGGTGGCGACAACAGGACGAGAGGACCAAAGCCTTGGTGAAGGACCTGGTGAAGGATGGAAGGCGCGCTGGCAAGCTGGGAAATCCATGAGTTTTCAACGGAGGTTTTAATAGGGAAATATGGAAAACATAATCTTAATAAAGAATGTTGTATGATTAAAACATTTCCCAAATACCCTCCAGTCATCAAACGTGGCTAGCTGGCAAATCCACCATAAAAAGTTCGATTAATTATTTTTCCAGCTATGATAGGCATCTATTTGGTTCAGGGATTGCCCAGCTAGCCACGTTTGATTACCAGAGGGTAGATAAACCCTACAAAAACCAAGAACCGTGGAACATCATTATGGGTATGTGAATATGTACACTTTATAACTGGAAGGTTGCTGGTGCATGACCAAAAATCTAGAGAACTGTGGAATATTCCTGGGATATGATGGGTATATGAAGGGGTACTGTACAACTAATTGAAGTGATTGCCGAGTCTTTTTAATCGATATGTGTCCAATTCTTTGACCGAACCATTATGGGATGATGATACCCAACGGTGTTTGGCGAGCTCAGCGGCTAGCTGGCTGTCACCCCAGAAACTGGCTCTCATTCTTGGGTTTTGTGATTGTTGGGCCAGACATTTCACCAGACTTTATGGACAATATATATGAGCATATACTGGTTGGTGGTTTAGAACATGGCTTTTATGACTTTCCATTCAGTTGGGAATGTCATCATCCCAACTGACGAACTCCATGATTTTTCAGAGGGGTAGGGCTCAACCACCAACCAGATATACTATATATATCTCCAAAGAAAAACGATGTAATTAACCTGGATGGATTCTAGAGATACACTGTAGTTTTTGGTGCTTTTGGCGTTGGATGGATGCCCACCAAAAGCTAAACGAAGTGTGCCACCGGAATCTGGGCAAACCACCGGAGAGGATCCTGCGAGATGATTTCAATGCAGAATTGGTCAGAGCAATGGTGAGCTGCGCACAGATGTTCCCAATAAGGAATATGCATCAGGAAATTGGCCCAATATTGATGCCCAATAGAATACCAGAATCAAACACACATTTATATATAATTATAGATATATGATATTAGATATATATTATTAATTATTATATATAATATATAATAATAATAGTAATAATAATAATAGTAATAATAATAATATATCATTTTAATATATATATATATATATTATTATGTATGGGGGTTCCTAACATTGGGATTCGGATACCCCTAAATCATCCATTTTAGGATTTTTCATGAAATAAAACAACCAGCGAGCTTGGGGAAGACCCCTTCGTTCCACGGTCCAAGGGGTCCAAGGGGTCCAAGGGGTCCAAGGTCAAGGGGCTGTTTCACCAGAGGCATTGATTGGGAATTTCTTTACAACCCTGAAAAGATAGACGAAAATGGTGTATCATGGTGTATCACTGTTTTTTTTTCAGGATTCAACGTTTCTATCTTCTTTTGGGGTTGCTATAAGTTTTATACCCATCAGTATTATCATTCGCATGCTTCTGTGGGGATATACACGTTTTACTCAGTCCTGTTGATAGTGACATAGATATTCGTAAAACACATTGTTTCCCGTTAGGAACATGATCTAAAAAAATCTTTTTTTTTTCATGGGTCATTTATAAATACCATAAACCATAGTTATTGGACGCATGATCTAATTTATGAATGACTAGATCTGAAATTCTGGCGTGAAATAAACGTGATGCTGTTCAGTAGCAAAAAAAAATAGCACACCGTCATGCTGAAGATCACCAAGAATTAGCCTTTGGTAATGAGTAACATAGCTATGGAAAATCACCATTTTTAATGGATAAATCTACTATAAATGGCCATTTTCAATAGCTATGTTAAATTACCAGAGGGTAGATTTTTTCCTCCGCGCCAATAGGCTCGAGTTCACCAATGGCGGCTGGTGTATGCACGACGAAGCCGCGCCTCACTATGTGGCTTTTCGACGGCAGGGACGATATTCTGCAGTGGTTCAGTGGCCCCGCTGGGATGTATACAAAGAGGGATTTAGTCAAGAAACACTGTCTGAATATATACTTGTCTATAATTATTGGTATTTGCCATTATGTTATAGACACGGGGCAAACATTTCAACCATATGAAAAGAAACCATATTTTCTTTCTCGTCCTTAGCTAGGCAAAAGTTGTCATGGAACACGTAATTTAAGCATCAGTTGTTTGATGAGTTTTAAGTCTACTCCAGTGATTCAAGAACTATTCAAGTGATTCAATTCAAGTGATCCGGATAAACATTCAAATAAGACTTGGTGCAAAAATTGCTTTTAATACTCCCAGCAAGATCCACCCAGACAAGCATCAGCGTCCTCCACGGCCCCAACCTCCACTGCCCCAAGTCATTTGAACCATTTAAATTCCCCCTGTTGATGCGTTGATAAATGGGGATTGTTAACCTTATTGGGGATTAAATCACAAACTCATCGGTAACCATGGAATACCGTTCTCAACTATATCATGGAATGGGATTACCCATAATCTGGTTGGTGCTTTGGAACATGAATTTTATTTTTCCATATATTGGGAATGTCATCATCCCAACTGACGAAGTCCATGATTTTCAGAGGGGTAGGGCGAAAAACCACCAAGCAGTAATCCATTCTTCAGTGCTTCAATATATTTTTCATTGCTTCAATCATCTTAGAATTCCCTCTACCCTCTGGTAATTTAACGTAGCTATTGAGAATGGCCATTTATAGTGAGTTTTCCCATTAAAAATGGTGATTTTCAATAGCTATGTTAGTTTACCAGAGGGTAATTCTTGGTGAGATCCCAACTTTACCTGGTGAAATCCAGCCATGAGATCCTCAGGATATGATCGATCAAACCACCCTGGGACACAAGTTCCTCATGGACGAGTTCGGGGTGGCGCCAAGGAGATTGCCTCATGGGATCTGATGGGTGATGGGTTTTTCGGGTGACGAGATGGCAAGAGTTATGGTGATGGGGTGATGGTCATTTCTGGCATGTCCGATGTTTCCCAAAGTTTGAGTTCTTGTGGCAATTTTGTCTCTGAAATACATCAGAGTTATATATAGTTATATGGCATGTTAGAGAAAAACAACAAAAAACACACATATTTTTCCCAAAGAAATCAGACTCACCAACTCGTTCGGGTCAAGAATTTGGATCTCCAAAAAGGGGCCCTTGTGTTCACCCCTTAAAATAGCTGTGTTTGTTGGGTGGATGTGAACATCCACCCAACTATAGCTATGACGAATATGAACGAATATGACAACAAATGACATGCTAGGTACATATATTTGTAGGATTTTGTAGGGTAATTCATGGGGTTTTGATCCTTTTTGATAGCCTCTGGTAAACGTTTACATACCTATGGAAAATCACCATTTTTTTTATCCATCCTATGATAATCTATGTTTCGCCAACCACAACCGGCTTCCCACGATCCGAAAAGGCGTGGTTTTTCCACGCCGCTGAGATCATCCGCAATTTGAAGCCAAACCAACTCGGCCAAGAAAAAGATCACACAGCCACCCCTCCAAAAGAAACCCAAAGATATCGATGTTTAATGATGTTCAAGTGAATTAAGGTTTCGATGTTTCGGTGATTTAAAATCATTTAAGTTACTAGAAACAACTCAGCATATCCAAACATTTCAAGTGATGAAAATTCAGTTCGATGAGTCTTTCAAGTGATTTAAAATTACTCAATTAAGTTACCTTCAGGTAAATTCACATAGAAATGACCCTAGAATTACTATGAAGTTACCAGGGTTCAATTAAGGGTAAAATAGATTAACCACGAGTGAAAATTAGAATTACTTAATTTTAGACCCTGAAAAACACCCCAATTTTTCGTGGAACTGCCAGGACGGGATGGCAACTGGACCCCTTTGGGCATTCCGCCACCCAGGCCTCCCTTCTCTCGGCCGAGGCCATGGATTTTTTGGGATTTTATGGAGATTTACCCTCTGGTTATGACTAACATAGCTATTGAACATGGCCCATTTATAGTGGATTTTCCCATTGAAAATGGTGATTTTCCATAGCAAAATGTTAGTTTACCAGAGGGTATAGAGATTTATAGGTTGAAGGTTGGGGAGTTGGGGTTGATATTGCAGGTTGAATGATGTTGAACGGATGACCATCAACCCTAATAATTATTTTATAGTAATACCTTCCCATTAATAATTACGGGGATTTTGTAGGGATTTTATGGGCCTATAACTATCCATCAACAGGGACTTAGCTATGAAACATGGGTGGAAAAATCCATTCCCCCTTATCATCGGCCTTCCCAGAATGGATGGATCCAACACCGACCCGGTTATGGGATTATATATTGATATATACTGGACATTTCACCATAGAAATATGATGAAATATGCAATATGCATATCAAGGATATTGACGGTCTATAACCATCGAACATAATGGAGGCTATATGGATATTTATGATATTATGTAAATAACATTACATTATAATTATATTATATAGTTACCAACAAAAGTGTTGATTGAACCATCAAAACATCACGGAACTTTTAAGGATCTCACTGTGACGTCACCGTAGATTCTGGTTCTCATGGGGAACCATCGCCAAACGCACTTATTTCTGGTTGGTGAATTTATATATAGCTATATATAATAATATATATGTATACATAATAAAAGATATAGATATATATATATATCTATCTATATATAAACTATATATTCTATATAATTCATTCAGAAGAATGATGCATGGGCCGAAAGACGAGTGAGTTTGAGCGGCAAGATTGCTGGCCCTAATCAATTTGTTCTAAGTCTCTTGATTTCTGGCTCTATCCCATTGTGTACCCTCTCGAAATTATTACAGTACATATCATCAGACTATTTCAGTGCCAATTCATCTCAAACCGGGCGCTTTGCCAAGATTGCCACGTTTGATTATCACGCGTCATGCAAAGCCAATGAGCCAATGCAGCTGACACAGCCAATATTGCCAGTCAATTTGCCATTGTAGTGCCAGTGTTGCAATGTAGCTATTCATGGTTAGTATAGCTAGGCTATATCCCAATACATCCCAGTTTTTTGAGGTGTCATTTGTAACTCACGTACTGACCACTTAGCTTTAACGAGAAATACTGATCAATCACCTCAAATTGCCCCATTTTCATAGTGCAGGTGCACCCCAAGAAATGGATATTACCCTCTGGTTATTTAACATAGCCATGGGAAATGACCCATTTATAGATGGTTTACCTATCAAAAATGGTGATTTTCCATGGCTATGTTAAATAACCAGATGGTCATATAATGTACCACAGGTATGGGATATCCCAGGTCATGGTTACATTATAACCAGGGATCCAGGGATGGGGCATCCAAGTAAGCTTCCACCGTCCGAAAGCGTGGCGGCTGCCGCAGGTGGGTTTCCAGGGTCTCTTCTTCGGACGGATCGATTATCAGGTCCAGCTCCCGGTGGGCCGGGTCAGCTCTGGGTGTTTCTGAAGCCCAGATTTATTGGGATAAACTCACCCTTTAAAAGGATGTGGAAACGCCAAGAACAATGTTATGATTTTCTTGCAATGGAACATAGGGATTTCATGATTAGGATTTATGGTGATTTATGTGGGGATATGACTATCTGAGCATGTCTGAGCAGTGACTGATAACCCCATTGATTGATGATTACATGAGGATTATATATATATTATCCAATCTATATATTGGGGGACTATCATAGTCCATTAGGGGAAATCCCTTCTCACCCATCCGCTTCAACTAGCTATAAACCTACTTAGCCAACGAAGTGGAGCATCAGATTGTCCTCCATACATTCCGCTATATCCCCATTAAACATATATATATATATGCAATTATATGCATACACACATTGTTGGTTTATACCATGTTTTTCCATTATTCATTGTTGAATGCCTTACTTTTGCTGTTGAAATCCCACTCAAACAATTCTCATAAAATGAGTGTTTTTCCGCAGTGAGCATTGAGCCATCATTTATGTGAAATCTATGGTTAAAACCCTGCAAAGTGGTGCCCCCCCAGTTCTAACTTATTTCATAAACAATAGGTATACAATATGGTAACTATAAACAATAGTTATTTCATAAACAATAGTAGCTAGTTCGAGATAATCTACCATAAACCCAATCAGACCAACATTCGTTGCTTCAACTTTGTGATTCTGAACTGGAGCACCACCAGCATTTTTTTTTTACTTCTATCACCAGCTGTTGACGGCCAGAACTATATCACTCAAACCATTTACAAATTTTGCCCCCTATAAGGTGGTTCTATCACTGCTGGTTATACTATACCATTATCACCAATATAGCCACTATTGTATACATATATAACCATTTTAGTACTATAACCATAATAACCATATATAAACATATATTATGTAACCATATATATGTATATATATATATACCAGTAGTGCCCGCATGAGGCGGGGCGGAAGTTGCCTTAGGGTTATACCATAAGATACCATAAGGCTTTTCTCATCTATAGAACTTGCATGCGCCGTGCGCCAGCCAGGCCCGTGCATGCGTGCTTTGTGCGAAGCTGTTGCGGTGTTGTTGTCCAAGAACATGACCTGCGCGCGACCCCGGCGCAATGCAACGAAAAGCGAACACTTTCTTCGCACTTCACACTGCACTCTTCACACCCCGCACTTCACACTTGCACTTCACACTCCACACTTCATCTCATCTCAAATCATGTGAGCTCTTCTCACCTCATCTCGCCCCATCTCTTCTCACATGTCATCTAAGTAAGTTCTTCTCAACCGTTTTCATCTCATCCGAGCACTGATCAACCGTTCTCATCTCCCCGAAGTTCTTCTCAACTTATCTCAGCTCTTCTGCGCGCCAGAAAGATCTTACTGTCAGAGAGAAGTCTCTTGCACAAAAAACGATTGGGCGCAGAAAGCTTTTGCACACAGAAGCTTGAGACACAGGTGCATTTACACAGAAAAGCCTTTCAAACATAGTTTGTACTACACAGCTTGCACAAAGCACTTCCCAGTACTACTTTGTACACTGTACTTCCCAGTACTACTTTGCACTACAAAGCTTGCAGAAAGCACTTCCCTGTACTACTTTGTACTACGAAGCTTGCACAAAGCATGTCCCAGTACTACTGTGTACTACAAAGCTTGCACAAATCACTTCCCAGTATTCTCTTTGTGCTACAACGCTTGCGCAAAGCACATCCCGGTACTACTTTGTACTACAAAGCTTGCACAAAGCACGTCCCAGTACTTCTTTGTGCTACCAAGCTTGCGCAAAGTACATCCCCTGTACTACTTTGTATTACAAAGCTTGCACAAAGCACATCCCACTGCCACTAATACTTTGTACTACAAAGCTTACACAAAGCACGTCCCAGTACTACTTTGTACTACACCATCAAAAAACCAATCACACACCAAAACAAACGGACCGCACCCGCCGCGCACACGAGGTATACCTTGCATCGCCGGCCGAAGCCACTTTACACGGAAAAAACAAGGTTTTGTGCGCCGGCTTCCTCCCCAGCACAAGCCCCATGCAACATTCACGCAGCCATTACAATTCGTTTTGCAGCAATTAGTATACACCATGCAGCCATTACAATGCGATTTGCAACCGCAGATTCCAAAACACCCTACAGCTACGCACACACGACGAAACAAGCATTGCAAAACACCATCAAGGAACCAATCACAAACCAAAATGAACGGACCGCACCCGCCGCGCACACAAGGTACCTTTCATCGCCGGCCGAAGCCACTTTATACAAAAAAACACAAGGTTTCGTGCTCCGGCTTCCTCCCCAAACCAAAGCCAATGCAACACGCATACAGCCATTAAATTACGTTTTGCAGCAACAAGTTTGCATATGGTTATGTGATGTAACTCACACCACCCTTCATGAATGTATTGTTATGTTATGTAAAGTCTCACGCCGCCCTTCATGAATGTATTGGTATGTGCTGTAAAGTCTCACGCCTGCTTCCCAACTTCCTTGTTGACCATTATACCCATGATATCTCCGGTTGGTTGATCTTCCCCATGTTTCAATCGGCCAGGACCTGGAACTGCGACAGCAGCAACGCAGCGCCGAGTTCGTGTGGCGCGCCTCGAAGTCGCTGGGTGCGACGTCGCAGGTCTTCACCGGGCTGACAGGCGCAGGGCACGGTGCACGGTGGCGGGAACCAAGGAGATCAACGGGGAAGAAGTGGAAAACAATATTGTATATTGTATATATAAAGATATATGGGGTTGTCATGTTTTTTCATGATTGTATCATTAAAGGATGTTTATTTATTTTTAATGATTGATATATTGATGATGCTGGTTATATTGAGTAAACGACAAAATTGTTGTAATATTTGATTTAGTTTTGCTTCGCCTTGGCCTTGTTGATGGGTGTGCAAAACCGTTATTACCAATAGGGGACGACCCTATACCGATGCCCCTGTTTCACATGAATCGCCTCAAAGTCTGAGAACGCTGAATTTCTCACTACCAATAGGGTACTAGGGTACGAGCCTAATTTGTGCATGGCATGAACATGAACAAGTAATGTTTGTCCAATTCTATGAAACATAATGATTGATATGGGATTAAACAAATCAGAATGGAAAAAAATGGGGATGTTGTAGGGATTACGCTGGAAAACTTGTGATTTAAGCACCATCACCAAGGGATTTCACCCGTTTTGTGGGTGATGATGATGATGATGATGATGATTGTTATCATTATTATTACATATTAGTATTTATTGATGATCACCATCGACTGAAAAATGGCACGGGATAGAAACTAACCAACAAAAATAGGATGGCAGACCATTGCAATTTCAGTTGGTGCTGCCACCACTCAACCACCAAACAGTTTTGCACAACAATGCGGGTGACTGTTCTGCACAACAAACCGGGTGGGGTTCGTCTCATGGACCAGGATCTGAACGTCTACAAAATTAGATGTCTTGAGTGAAATAAATATCTTCACAATTCATTTACACCCACCCAGGTCACCTGGATGTGGATGTATTTGACACATGGATGCACATATGGCATGGTACTCGCTTGTGCACCTGAGAATCGTCTCGCTTGTGCACCTGAAAATCCTCTCGCTTATGCACCTGAGAATCTTCCAATTCTACCTCTACTTGCACTTCTCATTCTACTTCCACTTCTACTTTCAGCTCTATTCCTACTTGTCCTTCGACATATTTTTCCACATCTATTTCTACTTCTCCTTCTACTTCCACTTCTACTTCTACATCCACTTCTACTCCTACATCTACTTCTACTTCCACTTCTACTTCTACTTGTACTTCTACTTCTACATCTACTTCTACTTCTACTTTCAATTCCACTTCTACGCCTACATCTACTTCTACTTCTACTTGTACTTCTACATCTACTTCTACTTCTACTACTGCTTCTACTTCTATTTTTACTTCTATTTCCACTTCTAGTTCTACTTCTACTACTGCTTCCACTTCTACTTCTCCTTCTAAAGATATAAATGTGCCGTGCCTCTCCTTCCATTAAATGCAACAAGATATAAACCCTCAAGGTGTCGTGGCTCTTCTTACATCAAGTGCAACAAGATATAAACCCTAAAGGTGTCGTGGCTCTCCTTACATCAAGTACAACAAGATATAAACCCTAAAGGTGTCGTGGCTCTCCTTACATAAAGCGCAACAAATTAAACCCTAAAGGTGTCGTGGCTCTTCTTACATCAAGTGCAACAAGGTATAAACCCTAAAGGTGTCGTGGCTCTCCTTACATCAAGTGCAACAAGGTATAAACCCTAAAGGTGTCGTGGCTCTTCTTACATCAAGTGCAACAAGATACAAACCCTAAAGGTGTCGTGGCTCTTCTTACATCAAGTACAACAAGATATAAACCCTAAAGGTGTCGTGGCTCTCCTTACATTAAGTGCAACAAGATATAAACCCTAAAGGTGTCGGGGCTCTTCTTACATCAAGTGCAACAAGATATAAACCCTAAAGATGTCGTGGCTCTTCTTACATCAAGTGCAACAAGATATAAACCCTAAAGGTGTCGTGGCTCTTCTTACATCAAGTGCAACAAGATATAAACCCTAAAAGTGTCGTGGCTCTCCTTACATTAAGTGCAACAAGATATAAACCCTAAAAGGTGTCGTGGCTCTCCTTACATTAAATGCAACAAGATATAAACCCTCAAGGTGTCGTGGCTCTTCTTACATCAAGTTCAACAACATATAAACCCTAAAGGTGTCGTGGCTCTTCTTACATCAAGTGCAACAAGGTATAAACCCTAATGGTGTCGTGGCTCTTCTTACATCAAGTGCAACAAGATATAAACCCTAAAGGTGTCGTGGCTCTTCTTACATCAAGTGCAACAAGATATAAACCCTAAAGGTGTCGTGGCTCTTCTTACATCAAGTACAACAAGATATAAACCCTAAAGGTGTCGTGGCTCTCCTTACATTAAGTGCAACAAGATATAAACCCTAAAGGTGTCGTGGCTCTTTGTTTGCAATGTAGCGTAATTTCCTTGTAATTTACGTATAAAATGCAACAAGATATAAACCCCAAAGGTGTCGTGGCTCTTTGTTTGCAACGCGTGATAGCGTAATTTCCTGGTAATTTACGTATAAAATGCAACAAGATATAAACCCTAAAGGTGTCGTGGCTCTTTGTTTGCAACGCGTGATAGCGTAATTTCCTGGTAATTTACGTACAAAATGCAACAAAATAAAAACCCTTAAGGTTTCGTGGCGCTTTGGTTGCAGTGCGTGATAGCGTAAGTTCCTGGTAATTTACGTATAAAATGGAGACCCAGGTGCGTAAGTAAGTGATTTTCTAGGTGCGCAAGTGAGTGCATTTCCCAGGTGCGTAAGTGAGTGAATTTCTAGGTGCGCAAGTGAGTGTAGTGCCTTGTATATATATATATATTAATATATATATATATACACTCATAGATATTGTATGGATATATGAAAATATATTAGTGCAAAACATTTAATATATGCATCTTTATATATATATATGTATACGTGATTACAAATAAATAAATAAATATATATATATACATACATACACATAATTTTGAATTGGAGTATGTTCCAGCCTTTGGAAACGTTTCATTGGGTGAAAACACCATCTTTTCAATTTGCAGCCGTGGACACCAGCGGCCGGGTGCGCCGGGGCGCGACAGATGACTCCATGAACTCCGAACTTGGAAGAAAACGGTTCCTCGGTGCTGCATTGAGCCATTGGGATAATCCAATTTTAGGGAAACTTCACAAGAAACCAAGGTTTTTTACTTGTACCCTTTTATACCGGGGTTTCCTGCAAGTTTTTCCTTTAATTAGTCCAGGAATGTTCTGGATTCAGAGAATATCCATGGTAGTTGCAAGCAATCCTTATTTTTCCATCTGGGTTTTGTATCACTTGGCATTAGTTATTGTCTCTTCCTGACCTTTCCCCCGTCAGTCCCCAGGCCGCGAAAATCCGCACCTGCCTCGCATGCGCCTCCTGAACCAAGTGGGGAAGGAAAGTCTTTGGAGATCAAAGGCTTGGATGGATCCACCTTTGAGCTCCAGGTTGGCGATGATGCAACCGTCGAAGATGTGTACAAATACACCTCGGAGAAAATTGCGCTGGAACCAGGCAGGAAATTGTTGCTGACTTCGGGCTGCACTATCCTGGATTATTCCAGACCGCTGCTGCAGCAAGTGCAGGGTGGGGAAATTAGTTTCATCGTCCAAAGAATCAGTTTGAATGAATTTGCCACAAGCTTTTGGAACGCCGTCGAAGCTGAAACCAAAGAAAGTCTGACTGCTGAAGATGTGAACACACTACATGCAGCTGCAATTATTTCAATGCACTTCGGACCACGTTTCAATCAGAGTTTGGCAGGTATCACAATGCCAACCATGTTGCAGACCTTGAACTTTGGATTTTGGTTCAATGAGGGCTTGGCAGGTGTCACATTGCCAAGCAGCCTGCAGACCTTGACCTTTGGTCGGGAGTTCAATCAGAGTTTGGCAGGTGTCACATTGCCAAATGGCTTGCAGACTTTGACTTTCGGGGGTGAGTTCAATCACAGTTTGGCAGGTGTCACATTGCCAAGCAGCCTGCAGACCTTGACCTTTGGATTTCTGTTCAATCGAAGCTTGGCTGGTGTCACATTGCCAAGTGGCCTGCAGACCTTGGCCTTTGGGCATTGGTTCAATCACAGCTTGGCGGGAATCACATTGCCAAGCGGCCTGCAGACCTTGACCTTTGGGTATGAGTTCAATGAGAGTTTGGCAGGTGTCACATTGCCAAGCGGCCTGCAGACCTTGACCTTTGGTCGGGAGTTCAATCAGAGTTTGGCAGGTGTCACATTGCCAAGCAGCCTGCAGACATTGACCTTTGGGCATGAGTTCAATAAGAGTTTGGCAGGAGTCACATTGCCAAGTGGCTTGCAGACTTTGACTTTTGGGCATGAGTTCAATCAGAGTTTGGCAGGAGTCACTTTGCCGGACAGTTTGAAGACCTTGACCTTAGGTCGGCAGTTCAGTCAGAGCTTGGCAGGTGTCACATTGCCAAGCGGCCTGCAGACCTTGACCTTTGGTCGGGAGTTCAATCAGAGTTTGGCAGGAATCACATTGCCAAACAGCCTGCAGACCTTGACCTTTGGAGTTTGGTTCAGTGAGAGTTTAGCAGGTGTCACCTTGCCAAGCAGCCTGCAGATCTTGACCTTTGGGGATGAGTTCAATAAGAGTTTGGCAGGTGTCACATTGCCAAGCAGCCTGCAGAGCTTGACCTTTGGTCGGCAGTTCAGTCAGAGCTTGGCAGGTGTCACATTGCCAAGCGGCCTGCAGACCTTGACCTTTGGTCGGGAGTTCAATCAGAGTTTGGCAGGAGTCACATTGCCAAGCAGCCTGCAGACATTGACCTTTGGGGATGGGTTCAATCACAGCTTGGCGGGAATCACATTGCCAAGCGGCCTGCAGACCTTGACCTTTGGGTATGAGTTCAATGAGAGTTTGGCAGGTGTCACATTGCCAAGCGGCCTGCAGACCTTGACCTTTGGTCGGGAGTTCAATCAGAGTTTGGCAGGAGTCACATTGCCAAGCAGCCTGCAGACATTGACCTTTGGGGATGGGTTCAATCACAGCTTGGCGGGAATCACATTGCCAAGCGGCCTGCAGACCTTGACCTTTGGGGATAAGTTCAATCAGAGTTTGGCAGGAGTCACATTGCCGGACAGTTTGAAGACCTTGACCTTTGGAAGTCTGTTCGATCAGAGTTTGGCAGGTGTGACATTGCCAAGCAGCCTGCAGACCTTGACCTTTGGGTATGAGTTCAATGAGAGTTTGGCAGGTGTCACATTGCCAAGCGGCCTGCAGACCTTGACCTTTGGTCGGGAGTTCAATCAGAGTTTGGCAGGTGTCACATTGCCAAGCCTGCAGACCTTGACCTTTGGGGATGAGTTCAATGAGAGTTTGGCAGGTGTCACATTGCCAAGCAGCCTGCAGACATTGACCTTTGGTCGGCAGTTCAGTCAGAGTTTGGCAGGAGTCACATTGCCAAGCAGCCTGCAGACATTGACCTTTGGGGATGGGTTCAATCACAGCTTGGCGGGAATCACATTGCCAAGCGGCCTGCAGACCTTGACCTTTGGGGATAAGTTCAATCAGAGTTTGGCAGGAGTCACATTGCCGGACAGTTTGAAGACCTTGACCTTTGGAAGTCTGTTCGATCAGAGTTTGGCAGGTGTCACATTGCCAAGCAGCCTGCAGACCTTGACCTTTGGGTATGAGTTCAATGAGAGTTTGGCAGGTGTCACATTGCCAAGCGGCCTGCAGACCTTGACCTTTGGTCGGGAGTTCAATCAGAGTTTGGCAGGTGTCACATTGCCAAGCCTGCAGACCTTGACCTTTGGGGATGAGTTCAATCAGAGTTTGGCAGGAGTCACATTGCCAAGCAGCCTGCAGACATTGACCTTTGGGGATGAGTTCAATCAGAGTTTGGCAAATGTCACATTGCCAAGCAGCCTGCAGACCTTGACCTTTGGAGAGACGTTCAATCAGAGTTTGGAATGAGTCACATTGCCAAGCGGCCTGCAGACCTTGACCTTTGGAGGTTCGTTCGGTCAAGGTTTCGCAGGTACCACAGTAATCCAACGGCCATTTGATTCCGAAACATGATGAAAAAAAACCGTGGGACGGATATGGGGTTTGGGTATAAACTATCAGTCTGTAAGCATATTTAATAGTATTTTATGGGTATAAAATAGGGATGAAACAACCATCTGATCCTACTTGACGCATATTTATCCGGAGGGTGAAACCGTCGCCCTCCATCAACCTCCCAAATTTCTGCTGCGATTTATTCGCCTACTTTTTTCAGCACCCTTTAACGTTCTGCTAAACTCACATGGCTATTGAACATGTTCTCATTTACAGTTGACTGATTTACCTATTTAAAAGTGATGATTTTCCGTAGATATGTTAGTTTACCAGACGGGTAAGATCAGCAGGTGCGCCCTCGCAATACTTCCGGGTCAGGGTTTGCCTGGATGCCAAACCACGACCATGCTTCGATTACTTGGATTGCTGAACGTGACTTTTTTATGTAGAATCCACCATTTGGGCAACCTACTGGGGATAGACTTTCTGCTTATATATTTTTTATAGCCCCCTTCAGCAAGAGAAAGATCAAATTTCCAAGGTTTCCAAACCAGGCATGCCCCATCTCCAGTCATTAACCATGGCCCCTTTGGGCCTTTGGGGAAAGAAGGTTTGGACGCGTCTCTGACTGTATGATGGTTTCATGGCATCATAATCCCCAGTTGAGATGTTGTTTGGGATTGGTTGAGAGCATCCGGATTGGCATCCCATCTGCGGTTGATTGAAGTTGCGAGTCCCATATTTTGGTGCAATTGTCGATGCATATCCAATTCTTGTGAATTTAAACGTAGCATCCTCCAAAGCCATGGAAAATACGCAATTTCGATGATTTTCCCAGCATTTCTCAGGAAACCTCTATGACCTGGGGGGATTTACCAGCGGCACGTTTTTTCTTTTTTTTCGCTGGACAGGCGAATACCAAGGCAACTACGGGCCACCAGCGACTTGGCCATTTTATAGAGTGGAAAATCCTATTAAAATGGATGGTTTATAATGGACAATCTTATTAAACCCAGTTTTCTGACGTCTAGAAACGAGAACATGAGTTCGAGAACCTGATTTTCGTGGAAATCTGCTACGCAGGACCAAACCAGAGTACGGCCTGCCCCAAAATTGTCTGGTGTCCATAGTGTCCATACCTACTTGGATTCCAGTTTCCAGTTTTCCCAACACAACATGTAATTCATTTATGTTGTGTTGTTGTTGTTTTTTCGAACGCACAACTGGCGAAATCGAAACTATGCAGACCTACCTATGATGATTCTAGTATGATCCAAATTTCCATATTGGGTTTCTTTATGGTAGATTTAAACTGATTTACAAGGCATCAAGGTGTTTATCAGCCGTTTCTATAAACAGGGTTTTCAACTGTCAATCATGCCTCTTAAGCCAATTCTAGGAGTGGGTCGCCCATGTCTGTTTCTCGTCATTTCTTGGCGAATCGCCCAAATCCACTGTTTTTTTCCCCCCAAAATGGCGCTATAAAACTCATGTCAAAGATGGCAATTTTCGGCATGGCACCATGGCAAAAACTCAGGGTGGCTTCGACTGGGACGTGCGAAACAGCGATGAGACTATTCAGGAGTCAGGGAGCAGACGGTTTCATCTTGGAAACCTCAACTGGTCGCCACTTACCCTCGACATAGCCATGGTATAGATGGCCCATTTATAGATGGTTTAACTATAAGAAAATGGTGATTTTCCATGTCTATGTTAAATAACCAGATGGTAAATGGGCTTAAGTGACTGTACTTTGACTTTGACTGTTGGATTTTGGGGGTATACTTCGGATCGTTTTTGGACAAACCAAAGCGTCTTCGCTGTTGGGTTGATATAGCGCTGACATAACCAATGGCATGGGGAAATTACGTAACATTCTTGTTTCCCTTGCGCGGGTTGGATTGGTTGATACGCCATGTGGATGTACGCAACACTAATTGGGAATTGAACGTGCTTTAGCCAACAATCATATCGAGTTCACCTTCGAAATCTAGGAAGGCCATTGGATCCGTTGGGGTAGACGGACTAGTCATTTCTAATACAACTTGATATGGCTATGGGTCAATACCTATACATACCATTTTTAGTGGGATGAACATCCATTTACCAGCTATTTTGGGGTTCACCAGGGGTACCAGGGTTTTGACCCATCCCCATATCATACATAGGGATATCATAGGGATACAACGGGGATACAACGGGGAGCGCCATCCAGGACGATCCGGCCCTGGAGGATTACAACGTGAAGAGCCGCGTGGAGGATTTCGTTCAAGCTGCCCTCACGGAGGCCGTTTTCGTTTTATGACCGTAGGGGAGAATTGGGGATTTATGATGTACTGTACCCTCTGGTAAACTAACATAATAATGGAAAATCACCATTTTTAATGGATAACCATTTTTAATGGATAAATCCACTATAAATGACCATTTTCAATAGCTATGTTAGTTTACCAGAGGGTATCCCATCCGCAGTGTTTTGTTTGTTCTTTTATTATCTTTTATTGGTGATATTGGTGATCATGAGGATTAACCTAATGGAATTTCAGGGGCTCCGTTTTGTTTGGCTTGAACTCACCATGCCTAGCCGGAAGATGCCGGAAGTGCCCTTCCAAAACTTACCATATTCACAACCAAAAAGACGGAAGCATCTGTGCGGTTCAGGCATGGTCCATGGTAAGCGGAGACTAGTTGGGTATGGGGAAGCACACACCTTAGCAGAATCATCAAACTGACATTTGTTGTAATATTATGAATATTATGAGTAACCATTCAATATTCACTTTGGGACACTATAGGTGTGAAAATAGAAAGCTCTGGCAGTTCTTTAACTGTAATATACTGTAATTTTCATAGACCAAGCATCACTGCGCAGTCCCGAGAGTGAGGCCAACATGACCAGGGGCAAAAACATCATGATGACCATGGGCTCCGACTTCCAGTACGAGGCCAGGCCGCCAGGTTCATCATGGCCCATACGAGCGGCTGCGTGGGAGACACCCCGAAAAACAGGTTGATGATATGGGGGCGGTTACATGGTTTTATTACGATTGGTGATTGTCACAATCATATTGATATAATATATCCCATATGCTCCATGTATGGAATATTTACCAACATTTACCCCATAAATGGCCCAAATGTCGGTACATATACCATACATGGATCCTATGGGTATATATATATATATGTCAATATGTCATGTCACGATATGTCACAATATGTCGTAGTCCATCATGGAATGAATTGCGACAGTGGTATTCTGTGAATGCTGTGGTGGAGGATGTTTTCAGGGTGATGAGGTAGAAAATGGCAGTGCAATCCTCTTGTCCAATGTTCTTCATCATTCACCTACAATTTCCCCTCAAAAAAACAACAACATGTAGTTAACCAATGGTAAATACATGCGTAAACCTAGCATCACCATGGTACCAGACATGATCACGATCTAAGAATTTAGAATAAACAAGAACATGAAAATAATAACAACAATAACAACCATAACAATTATTACAGTAATAATATTAATAATAACAACAATAACAACAATATTTTATGATACAGTAATAATATATTTAATAATAACAACAATAACAAAAACAATATTTTATGATACAGTAATAATATATTATATAATAATAATACTAATAACAATAAACAATAATAATAATCATAAAATAGATACTCCCCAGCCAAAGCCATGTAAATTCCCCAACCCCCAACCCCTCAGGACGCGGCGTCCTGGTACTTCAACCTGGACCGGCTCATCCAACACGTCAACGCCGACGGTCGCGTGAAGGTCTTCTACTCCACGCCCTCGCGGTACGTCGACGCCAAGCGCTTGGAAACGAAGGTCATGTGGCCTCTGAAGGCAAGTACCGGGGCGTGGGGGTTGGGGGGTTGGGTGAAGATGAATTCTTGGGATTTTTTTCGGGATGCTTTTCGGACATTGATTGTTGGACAAAACTCAGTGCGACTTTTATTTGGTGTTGGCCGTGAATGTTGATTCAAGATGGAGGGATTGTCAATAATGTGGCAGCTGGGTGTACTGTACGTGGAAGATGGGAGGGACCAACTTTCTTCCGAACATGATTTGCTGTGAAAGCTGGTGGCTTTGCAGATCAAAAAAAGGTTTCTATATCCTTCGTCCTGGGAGAACGATTTATTGTTGGCTTTCGTCCTGGTTGTGGTTCCACCGCCCATGGTTTTGTTTCGACGCTTTTGGTTTGGCGGTTTGGAACGGAAACCCTTCCATGGTATCTGGATGTAGCCGGAAAAAAATCTAGAAACGTGTGAATGAGTCTGTCTGAAAATGTGGTACCCCAAAATCCACTGTTTTATTGTCATCATTTTCCCCATCGAAAGTCAAAATTTGACCCATTTTGTTGGGGAAATACGTGCATACTCCATCATACTCCATGTTCAATCATTTTTCAGACACACCCACATCATTCCAAGGTGTCATGGATACATTCTCTCCGTTTTTCAATGAGTTGGCCAGTTGACCCATCCATTTTGGGGTCTCAGCCAGTTATTCCCCGATTTCAGCACTGAGGTCGAACAAAGAACATGTAAGCGAAAACGAGCAAGTGCTGGTGTTTTTACGTTTGAACATGTTCGAACCATCGATTTTGATCCATGCTGTGTAACGACATAGTGAAACCCATTTTTTTTATCATATAATTACATAGTTAGAATATGATATATATATATGACTATAATGTGTATATATATATATATTCATAGGAACCGATCGCAAATGCAAGTCTAAGAACTATGAAAGGGCATGTGTATTTCAGCATCCGCGATTGTAAAGCCCTGCGTCGCGATTGATCGGCGATTAGTTCGCGATTGAGACAAACATTTGTTGTATAAGAATCGACTATTGTAAGAGGAGAAATCAGATTTACATGGCATGATAATGGTGTTACATTTCAGCCTTATACTGTATTCGGGTCTGCCTAGACACTGTGTTCAATAGTGAGGGCCAATAGCAAAGAAGAATCAGTTTAACAAGTTCAAAGTACAGCCAAGATCAATTCAATTGTCAAAAAATGTCGATGAAATCCGCGATTGCTTCGCGGTTGATCCGCGATTGCTCCGCGATTGTTAAACCGTTGGGATGGCTCAACCGCGATCGGCGATTGTAGCTGCCCCAGATACCTTTATTTTGATCACCCATATAATAACACATTAATTTGCTTACATTACCATCATTTACCCATAATACAACAAGTTTGGTAGTTTACATATATATATATACATAAACAGAGTATATTAAACCACCATCCACAACTAATAATACTACCATTACATTAATATCCACTTTACATATGTTTATATTATTATTAGAGTTGTGGATGGTGGTTTCAACCCGCTGCCGAAGATCATCGGAAACAAACCTCCGCAGGAGGACGACTTCTTCCCCTATGCCGATGGTCCGCACAAGCTGCTGGGCGGCTAAAGCATTGGCAACCGGGTGCTGGATCTGGATCATGTAGGATCAACATTGTGTAATTTTAGTGCTAACAAATATGTTGACGCAGTAGATTTTGCTGTAAAACTGGTTGTATCATTTTGGTAATTATATTTCTTGTTTGGCAGGATATCTAAGATTTGTATAGATTTGTCACCTGTCATCGTTTGTAGCGCCATGGCCAGCGAAGCCTGTGAATGATGCTTAAGAAAGGGGAAACCATCGCAATCCATCGCCTGAAGTGTGCTGTGCTGCTGTACCAAATAGATTTGTTGAGATTGACTTACCCAGATGCTCAATGTATGGAATATTTAACTACATTTACCCGAGAAATGGCCCAAATGTAGGTAAATATTCCATACATGGAGCATCTGGGTTATCCGGCTGGGGATTTATCTTGCTCGAATTTTTAGAACATGCGGTTGGCTTCAACCAACCGCAGCCGATTTGTTAGCTGTAAATGGCTGTGGTTTTCAACATTTTTTTGTAGAAAATCCCCCAATGCTTGCTGCTTTATCATCAAGTTCCATCCATTTCTCAACTTTAGATGGCCATTTTGGGATGTATTAAAACCCAGTTTTGGAACGACGAAACCAGATGATGTCAATGTTGGCTTATCGGGCTGCCCCAAAGACTCTTGAATTGACCTAACATCCCTAGAATAATCCTAGAGTCATTGGATTTTAACAGGTCTTTGATTATTCTAGGGATGTTCTAACAGGTACCATAACTAGGATGTTATAAGATTGAAGTATTATACCAGGCAACATCATATATTATTATAATAACATCATACTTAAGTCACTCATGGCGTCTTAGATTTCAAATCAGGCGATCCTCCTGGCAGTGCCATGTCAAACTACCTTTGGGTTCAACCATTTAACGTCAGCACAAACCCCAATTGGGAATGGTTTATGGATGTTTATGGCATTGGTTTTACCTTATTCTCCCATATTCTCCCCATGTCTCGTGAACATATATCCCACGTTTTCTCATTATTTTCAGGTTTTTGCTTCCAAAGAGTAACCGCCAAAAAGATAGAACAGTAATTCTCCGCTTTTTTTGAGTACAATATTTTTCATATGTATGTTGAAACTTTTCTATTTTTTTGGTGGTTGCTATTTATATAATATATAATATATATAAATCTATATATATGGATATATATATGGGGTTTACCTTTTCCCCCGACATCAAAAAGTCGTCGTTGAAGTTCATTCTCCGAACTTCGCGGTAAATCGTCAGGTTTTGGACGGGTTACTTCACCTCCCGTCCTGCTCTGAAGCGTTACATCCGCGACAGCAGCGCCTTCTTTCAGGTGCGACACATGGTGATAGCATGGTGAAGTGCTTTTTTTAGAGCAACCACCAAAAAAAGAACAGTTCAACATCCTAAAGTAGCGGTGAATTATTGTTACATAATATCATTGATATTAATTATACATATATGTCTTTTCGGGGAGTGCTTCAGTAAATGCAAATGTATTATATATATATATATATCTGCAGGAACACTAGAATTGATGGAACTTCATATATGTGGAAGCCTCAAGATGTTCCATGTACTCTTGAAATGTGAAAACTTTTTGTTCGTCAACCCCCGCTTTCTGTTTTTCTTTTCCTTGGTAACTACCTGCATTTTGCTGGCCAAATATATATATATATTACTATATTATGTATATGTTCCTTGGTGAAATTACTTTTCAAGGAAATTTGCAGGACACACCGACACACCCATAATTTATATGATAGACAAAATCATGCTTTCCAGTCAAAATGTCCCCATACAACAATCTATTGAAACCTCAGCATGGTGTGTTTCCAAAAAAATCCCATCATATATAATCCCATTTGCCAATTATCAATTGTACATCCCCAATGGGATTATAATACCACCCACTATTCATGGTAAAATAATCCATCCACTATGTTTCATGGTAAACCTATTAAATACCACCCACGATTCATGGTAAAATCCCCAGAATGCCAGAATTTTCTGGAGACTTCGTCCGAAGGTGTCCAAGCAAGTGGGCGCCCTGGCACAGCTGACGGGCAATGCCAAGCTGGGCCCAGGGGTGGAGAAGCTGGCTGAGGTGGCAGGGATGCACCAAAACTTGGGGATTTTACTAGGGAAAATGATGGGTTTTTGCAGGGATTTGAGCCCCAACACATGGGGATTTCACTAGGAAATATGGTGATTTTTGCAGGGATTTGAGCACCAGAAATGGTGAAAACTTGGGGAGTTCACTGACAATCCATGAACTGGGAAATCCAATGAGCACCAGTCAGACATGGCGATGAAAAATTCCAATTTAAGCAAAACACATTATTTTCTTTTCAGACTAATCTAGTCTAGTCTCCACATCATTTTTTTTCTCGTTGACTTCAGTAATACTGATATACTTTTCTCCCTTCAACCGTGGGTTTTGAATGATCCAAGCTGGAAGACCGTCTGTGTCAAGCTCGCCTCTAAGTTTGGGGGACCCGATAGGCGGTTTCCATAAATGGGGCTACCCTAAAGTATGGATGGTTTATTTATGTTTATTTAATGGAAAATCCTATTAAGATGGATGATTTGGAGGGGTACCCCTATTTTAGGAAACCTCCACAAACCAGCAGCTTTTAATACCCCCGGGAAAATTGGGAAAGGGAGTAATGGCATTTTGTACCTATAAAATTTGTATTATTAATATTGATTGATAAATGGAACATTTTGAGGGGACTGACGATGATGTATGCAGGCGAAGATCAGGGTTCAGATCTCTTTGACAACTCCGAATTTTCGATAGTTCATTCATGCCTGTTTTGAAATCCCACTTTCGGGCGAGCAATATATTGTTTTGAACTCAACGTTTCTATGGTAAAGATGAAGTTAACTCCCAATTTTCGACGGGTGATTTTCTTGTTTAATGTGAATTCCCATTTTCCTGTGGTACAACAAATCATGTTAAATTCCAAGTGTTGATGCATAACATCATGTCTTGAATCGTAATTCCCACTTTTCGATGGTTAAAGGTCATCTTAACTTCCAATTTTCGATTGGTAAAATAATGTGTAGGTTGTTAATTCTCACTTTTAGATTGTGAAAGTCATGTGATTTCCCAATTTTGCATGGGTAAAAACATATTTTGAATTTTAGTGCCAATGTTTCGATGGTACAAGTCATGCTTGATCGCTATTTTGATTCGTAACTAACGCATGTTAAGTCCCAATGCTTTAGGAGTTGGGGTCATTTGTACAAGGTGGTGCCCCCCCAGTGATGTTTGTTGGTTTACAACCCACATTAACATATGTGTAATGTGTAAACTATAGAACATGTTATACATCTATCTAGCACAAGCCAAATATTTTTTTGGAGTTATGTTTACCAACATTATATTGTAGGGCTTCGCACACCGGCGATGCCCCAAGGGTTGTTGTTGCCCAGAATGTCGCCCGCTTGCTTTGTTGGCATCTTGCAACCATCTGAATCTGATTACGCAGCTTTTTTCTCATTCTTGTAGTAGCCAAAAATCATCACATAGATGGTGTTTTCAGGTAAATACCGATCTTTTTGGGACGTCCTTGGGGGCAAAACTCACAGTATTTGCAGTGTTTTGTGGACAGCGCCTGTAGAAAAAACACTTATTTACGCAGTTCTCGGCATGTTGCAAGAAGTATTTTTTCCATGCGAAAGTTGCAAACACATTGTAAATTACAGCACAGTGTTTTACAATGTTTTGGCCGCCAGCGCGCGCCGAAAAAAATTGCAAAAATACACCAAAAAGTGCCCAAAATGGACCTCCGAGCCGCAAGCCCTGTTTTACCCATGGTGCGCAGACTTGTGGCCCCCAAAAACGTGAAAACAGTGGTTGCCAAAGGCGGTCTCGGTGATTTCTGTGGATTCTGAGATCATGGGCATGGTCACACATAGTTCTGACATATTATGACTCATATTTCATTTTAGGTATATATAGTGTGAATTTATATAATGGACTCTAAGATATGATATGGAAAAGGTGGTGGTTTTCTATTTTAACTTGTAACCACGTAGCAGATTTTACTGGATGAGGAAGTCTGCCTACTGCAGCATGTTCTCTGGGCTTTGTTCAGCGCATTGATCTTTTGGATATCTTTTGGTGTTCTTGAAGCAGCATGCGTGGCTTGGCTGCAGGTGCAGCATGTCTCCAGTCGGTACGAATTGTGCCAATTGGTGGGTGTAAAAGCGAATTGTGATCTCTATGCAGTTGAGGGAGCATGGGATTGCACCAATTGGTTATGGCTTGGATGAATCACATGACGTCACTGCAGGAAAGCGCTGCATTACAAGCTTGCGATCCCGCTGTGGAATGGTCTCCGCGCCCGAGTTGATGTTGATTGCCCATCTACTTCCAGTTGGAATGCCTTTGTGAAATCCATGGAGCCTGTCGGAATCCTTAGGGCTACGATGGCTGACGATATGGCCAACGCTCATGCGGTGCCTTGGAGGGACTGGTCCACAAGTGTGGGCAAAACATCTGTTTGGTTTTGATCGCAAAGGAAGGGGGGTATGGACATGACCCGTCGTCTGTTGCATTGTAAGCTGGATTAGTTGCAAGATACGCACAAGGTGCAAGCTTCATCGAAAAACCGGCTTCAGTTTGAAACATGGCTTCAACCTTGCATTACCGAAGTATGTGATAAGGCCGGCCAAAAACATTCCAGCATGGACGTAGCAAGTATGTGTCTAGATGCACTGCACTGGTGCTGCCCGGCTATCGCCAGCAAGTTGAATACAAGCATCTGGCTAGGTCATTCTCGATGAATTCCATCTCCTACATGTCACATAAATATAACAATACATTACAGTACACCACGCAACAACACATCACATAACAATACATAACATAACAATATATCACACAACAACACACCAAATAACAATACATGACATAACAATACATCACACAACAGTGCATCACATAACAGTACATCACACAACAACACATGAGACAACAGTACATTAGACAACAAAAGATAACATAACATTTTATACCATAACAGCACATGATCACATAACAATACATGAGACACATTGTTGTGACTGCAGCTGGCGATGAAGGGCAGCGCGCAATGGCTGCATGAACGTTGCTTGGGACTCGTGTTGGGGAGGAAGCCGGAGCACGAAACGTGGTCTCTTTCCGTGTAAAGTGGCTGCAGCTGGCGATGGCGGGCGGCTCGTGTGTGATGTAGTACGAAGTAGTTCTGGGAAGTGCACTGTGCAAGCTTTGTAGTACAAAGTAGTACTGGGAAGTGTTTTGTGGAAGTTTTGTTGTGCAAGTAGTACTGGGAAGTTCTTTTTGTGAGCTGAGTACAGGGATGTACTGGGAAGCACTTTGTGCAAGCTTTGAAGTACAAAGTAGTACTCAGAAGTGGCTTGTGCAAAGTTTTGAGTACAAAGCAGTACACAGAGAAGCGCCAACAGAGATGTACAGATGTTATTATTTCTGTGCTAGCCTGGAAGCAGCACAGTGCTGTACCAATGTCGGCTTTGTTTCCATTCGGCAGTGTAGTTTGTTTCAAGAGTTGCAGATGTGATGACCACAGCGTGCGAAGGGCCAACGAAACTGTTGACCCAACAATTGTTGACCTGGATTTTTTTTCCCTTCCGCGCACCGAATCGAAGCGAACTTGCAGGATATGGCGCTTTACTTTAAGGTTGGAACCTTTGAGGACCATCACGCTGACGAGGCAGTTCGGCTTTTTCAGCGTAACTTTTACCTTCTTAGCCTTCGCCTTTGGTTTCGTTCTTTGTGCCAGCCAGGTCGACTCTTTCGAGGTGGGCTGCGCTTACCATGTCTTATATGAAGCATCGTGCATTCGCGTTTGTTCGGACACAAGCTGCTTGGTATGTGTCGTCTTCAGTCCCTGCTTGAATGTGCTTCCGATCCTCACTCTCGCTCTCCCCCTTGCTGCTAGCCGGGGTCGGAGGATATACGTTATATACGTATCGATATATTTACCATAATTACAACCCTATAGAAAATTTCATTTCTAAACCACCTGGCTCCCTTTTTTGGGGCACCACCAGGCTATGGTCAGATGATGGGCTCTTTCCAAATTCCAGGCCATGGGTGTGGCACAGCACCATGATGCGGTCTCGGGCACGGCCAAGCAGCACGTGACCTTCGACTATGCCAAGCGCTTGAGTCGTGGGAGGTGCCGGGGATGGGAGTCGGATCTTGCCGTGGCTGGTCATGCTGGTATGGGAGTTGGGAGTTTTTTATGGGTTACTTGGAATAAGGCATATTTTACCATACCTCCCCAAAATAGTTATTTTCCCGAAAAACATCGGATTTGGGATTTAGGGATTCTAATTTTATGTAATTTGCCATGAAAGAAAAACAAAAGGTAAAAGATATAACTCATACTACATCATGATGATAATGATCATTATTGGTGATCACTATTGATGATGATGATGAAATTGATGATGATGATGATGGTGGTTGAATTAGCTGATTACTCATGATACAAAAGATATAATGATCGAAGGAAGTTTAGAAGTCAAACTTCCGACAATATGGACAGATGAAAAGCAGAGCAGGGAAGAGGCAGAGAGAAGAGAAAGATTAGAAGAAAGAAGGGTAGAAGAGAAAGAGTTAGAAGAGAGAAAGATTAGAAGAAAGAAGGGAAGAAGAGAAAGAGTCAGAAGAAAGAAGATGCAGATGCGCGAAAAGGTAGGAAAGTCGCGAAACACTGTGTTTTTCCAATGATTTGTGGCTCCGGAGGGTCGAAAAGTGGCTCGCGAAAGCGGCGGGTGCGGAGTCAGCTGGCCAGACGAGAGATGAAAAATTGCACGCCGTTGTGGCGCGAAGCACATTTCGAAGTGAACATGTACAAAACACACCATTCTCGGACCACTTTTGGCAGTTGAGATGTCGAAAAAGTGCACGCCCTTGTGGCGCGAAGCACATTTCCAAGTCAAAATGTACAAAAAACTAGGGGTGCGGACCACTTTTGGCAGTTGATGTCGAAAAAGTGCACGCCGTTGTGGCGCGAAGCACATGTCCAAGTCAAAATGTACAAAACACACCAGCTCCGGACCACTTTTGGCAGTTGAGATGTCGAAAAAGTGCGCGCCGTTGTGGCGCGAAGCACATTTCCAAGTCAAAATGTTAAAAACACCAGGGCCACCAGGGGTTCGGACCACTTTTGGAGGTTCAGATGTCGAAAAAGTGCACGCCGTTGTGGCGCGAAGCACATTTCAAAGTCAAAATGTTAAAAACAGTAGGGGTTCGGAACACTTTTGGAGGTTCAGATGTCGCTTAGCGTGGCAGGCGCAAGGGATTGTGCACCTTGTCAAAAGTGGGCAACACGTGAGGGTTTTGTAGCATTTTCAACTACAACCACCACTACATCACACTACAATCCAATACACTACACGACACAAAAACTACAACTACAATTACACCTTCACTACATTCGACTACACTACACTCCACTACACTACACTGCACTCAATTACACTTAATTACACTACACTACATTACATTACACTACACTACACTCCACTAGACTACAATACACTACACTACTCCCACTACACTTCACTACATTACACTACACTACACTACACTCCACAACACTGCAACTACACAACTACACTCCACTACACTCCACTACACTCCACTACACTCCACTACACTCCACTACACTCCACTACACTCCACTACACTCCACTAAACTAAATTACACTACACTACATTACACTACACTACACTCCACTACACTACACTACACTACATTACACTACACTACATTACACTACCTTCCACTACACTTCATTACATTACACTACACTCCACTCCACTACACTACAACTACAACTGCAACTACACTCCACTACACTCCACTACGCTAAATTACACTACACTACACTACATTACACTTCACTACACTCCACTACACTACATTACACTACACTACACTACCTTCCACTACACTTCACTACATTACACTACACTACACTCAACTACACTACAACTGCAACTACACTCCACTACACTCCACTACACTAAATTACACTACACTACACTACATTACATTACACTACACTACCCTACATTCCACTACACTACATTACACTGAATGACACTGCACCACAGATAGACAGGATAGACAGATAGACAGATAGATAGATAGATAGACAGATAGACAGGTAGACAGCTAGACAGATAGACAGATGAAAGAGAGAGAGCTAGATAGATAGATAGATAGATAGATAGATAGACAGACAGACAGATAGATAGATAGATAGATAATTAGGTAGATAGATATGTAATGAGATGAGAGAGAGAGAGATAGATAGATAGATACATAGATAGGTAGGTAAGTAGGTAGGTAGATAGTCAGAGAACGAGAGAGAAAGAGAGGAGACCTCAAGCACCTTTCGGTCCATCAGTGGCTTGGCTCTGCCATCCCTGATTCACAACAACCAACCTCTCCTATAGGTTTCCTATTTTTGAAACTTCCGCCACCGCCTTGTGCGGTACTACTGGTAATGATCGCATTTTAAAATCATAATATATAAATAATATTATAAAGTGTTTATATATCATGATAATGTGTGATAATACCAGTAACAACACAAAATAGGTAAACACGTAATACAACTAAATACACAGTAGACAAACACATACAAATAAATATACATATGCACATAAATAAACTGATGCATGATAGTGATAAAGTACTTAAGCTACTGGCAATGATGATAGTCTGGTAGGACTTCTACTCATGAATCATGTTTCATTTTAACAGTGATAATACATATACAACAATCACAAGAGTGGCATTTGCTGTAATCACACAACATTTGGCGAGATCCATCAACCGAAACACTTCGGGGCTTATTTCCATCAAGGTTTGGAACTTAGCTCCGACTGGAATGATGTGCGGATATCCATGGCCCATTCCATTTAGAGATGTGTATAGTATTCCATTAGATGTTGAAATCACGTTTTAGATACGGCCCATATTCTATTTCAGGGTGCTATTCCTGTTTCCAATTCATATATGTATATATATACATATTTAAAACTTATTCAAGGAGTCACGGATTGAAATATCGGTAGTATATCGGATTATTCCATGTTCAAAGGTTACCAACACCAGCATATCAATCCATCTTTAAGTTGTTCAATACCAATATGATAATATTGAGAATATTGAAAACCACCTCGAAGTTGGGATATATCCCAACGGATCGGTTGAAGGAGAAATTTTCGGGAAACCCTCATGTTTCATGCGAAACTCCATGGTTTCCGGTTAAGATCGTTCCCCATATTCTCTGCTGATCTGACAAAAATCGCCAGGAACAGTGCGATGACCGAAGTCGCTGGGGTTCTGCAGAGCATGATGGAAGTAAAGGCCCAGCAGGCGAGCGGCTGGAGGAGAAGGGTACCCCCCTGCGCACCCCACATCATCCAAAATTATCCCATTTTAGTCTGAAACCCATGGTTTTGGGGATCCCCCATTTTAAGAAATCCCCATATGATCTGTGTATGATATATATATATATATGTATATATATATATATGTGTGTATATATATGTATATATATGTATATATATATATGTGTATATATATATATGTATATATAATGATATATATATATATACAGTATATATATATATGTATCATAGATGTTTTTCTACACGAGATGTGATATATATATATATATACATAAATAAATACATATAAATACATCTCTACAATTACGCTAATATATAACACACATGTATGCTTATAACAATTCCTACATTTAATCATATATGATATCATATGTATAATAAAATCCTATGATCAATCCATGTCCATCCTAGATTTTCTAGCTCAACCACTCAACCGAGGACTTCACGGTCTGCGAGCTGCGCAACATCTCCAGCTGCGCAGCGACGGAGAGCGTGGGACGAAGCAGCAAGAGGATCGCCATCGCTCGCTGGTTGGTTTCATGGAAAATCCTACGAAAATGGATATCATTTTGGGCTATGGATTTGAAGGAGGATAAACAGTGATATGCCATGTTTTTTTGTTGTCAAAGGTTCATTACCATAGTTCATCATATCTTTAAGCGAAGAGCAATGAGACATATGTATATATATATACCTTTCGAAATCCCATTGTTCATCACCATAGATGTATGGCAAGTGATCTTTCTGGAAGTAGAGTTTGGTCCAGAAACCACCATTCGGGGAGACAGGCGCCGCCACTGGAGGATCGTCCCGCGAAGTCATGAAAAAAAAGGGGTAGCCTCTGGTTATGACTAACAGGGCCAGCCATGGAAAGATCCACCATGCTATTAAGAACGGTAAACTATCTATTTCGATTAGGGCCATCGAAATCCCATGGCGAACTGTTAGTCATAACCAGGTTGGGTACTTAGATGTACCTAGCAATTGCAGCAAGGTCATTATGCAGTTACGAAGTCAGATGATCCTCCAACTAGGAAACATGGTGAAATTTCCCAAAAACATAGCGATTTAAGAGGAATTTCATGGGACTCGGCTATCGCAACTTCAGTTGGTGCCCGGACCTCTCAATCACCAAGCAGTTGCCGCACTACACATCTTGTGAGGTTCGTCTCATGGACCAGGATCTGAACGTGTACAAAATCAGATGTTTTCAGAGTTTAAAAAGTAACTTTACAATGTATTTACACCCACCTGGATGTAAATGTATTTGACACGTGGATGGATATACACATGGATATTGTATGGGCCAGATGAAATTACATGAATGCAAAGCATACAATGTATACTGTACATGATTACATATGCAAATATATATATATAACTCTATCTCTCCCTATATACTGTATATATAAATAAATGTATATAAATAAATGAATAAATAAATAAATAAATGTATATATATATATATGTATATATGTAATGTAGCATCTATAGTAGTTTCAAGCCTTTGAAAACGTTTCATTGCGTGAAAAACGCGAAATCTTTTGAGTTCGCAGCCATGGACACATCATCGGCCGGGTGCGCGGCAGATGACTCCATGAACTCAGAACAGGGGGTCAGAAAACGGCGACTTGGCGTAGCCATTGGGATTGGTCAATTTACCCTCTGGTAAACTAACATAGCTATTGAAAATCACAATTTTTCATGGGAAAATCCACTATAAATGGTCATTTTCAATAGCTATGTTAAATTACCAGAGGGTATAGTAATTGAACATTGGCCATTTATAGTGGATTTACCCGTTAAAAATGGTGATTTTCCGTAGCTATGTCAATTTACCAGAAAGTCTTAAACTTAAGGGAAACTTTGCAGGAAACCATGGCTTGTACTTTGTAACCTCACAGGGGTTTTCTTTATAAGTTTTCCCTTCAATTACCCTAGTCCTGGAATGTTCTGGATTCAGAGAACATCCATGGTAGTTGCAAGCAATCCTTGTTTTTTCCATCGGGTTTTGTATCACTTGGCATTAGTTATTGTCTCTTCCTGACCTTTCCCCCGTCAGCCCCCAGGCCGCGAAAATCCGCACCTGCCTCGCATGCGCCTCCTGAACCAAGTGGGGAAGGAAAGTCTTTGGAGATCAAAGGCTTGGATGGATCCACCTTTGAGCTCCAGGTTGGCGATGATGCAACCGTCGAAGATGTGTACAAATACACCTCGGAGAAAATTGCGCTGGAACCAGGCAGGAAATTGTTGCTGACTTCGGGCTGCACTATCCTGGATTATTCCAAACCGCTGCTGCAGCAAGTGGAGGGTGGGGAAATTAGTTTCATTGTCCAAAAAATCAGTTTGAATGACTTTGCAAAAAGCTTGTGGAACGCCATCGAAGCTGAGACCAAAGAAAGTCTGACTGCTGAAGATGTGAACACCCTACATGGATCTGCAATTGTTTCAATGCACTTTCGCGCACGTTTCGATCAGAGCTTGGCAGGTGTCACATTGCCAAGCAGCCTGCAGGCCTTGACCTTTGGGGATGAGTTCAATCAGAGTTTGGCAGGTGTCACATTGCCAAGCAGCCTGCAGACCTTGACCTTTGGATTTCTGTTCAATCAAAGCTTGGCTGGTGTCGCATTGCCAAGTGGCCTGCAGACCTTGACCTTTGGTCGCGAGTTCAATCAGAGTTTGGCAGGAGTTACATTGCCGGACAGTTTGAAGACCTTGACCTTTGGAAGTCTGTTCAATCAGAGCTTGGCCGGTGTCACATTGCCAAGCAGCTTGCAGACCTTGACCTTTGGGCACAGGTTCAATCAAAGTTTGGCAGGTGTCACATTGCCGAGCAGCCTTCAGGTCTTGACATTGGGGGAGGATTTCAATCAGAGTTTGGCAGGTGTTACATTATCAAGCAGCCTGCAGACCTTGACCTTTGGGCATGGGTGCAATCACAGCTTGGCGGGAATCACATTGCCAAGCAGCCTGCAGACCTTGACCTTTGGAAGGCTGTTCGATCAGAGTTTGGCAGGAGTCACATTGCCAAGCAGCCTGCAGACGTTGACGTTTGGAAGTCTGTTCGATCAGAGTTTGGTAGGTGTCGCATTGCCAAGCAGCCTGCCGACCTTGATATTTGGTTGGCACTTTGATCAGAGTTTGGCAGGTGTCATATTGCCAAGTAGCCTGCAGACCTTGACCTTTGGGCATGAGTTCAATCAGAATTTGGCAGGTGTCACATTTCCAAGCAGCCTGCAGACCTTGACTTTTGGTTGGGTGTTCGATCAGAGCTTGGCAGGTGTCACATTGCCAAGCAGCCTGCAGACCTTGACCTTTGGGCTTAAGTTCAATCAGAGCTTGGCCGGTGTCACATTGCCAAGCAGCTTGCAGACCTTGACCTTTGGGCATAAGTTCAATCAGAGCTTGGCAAGTGTCACATTGCCAAGCAGCCTGCAGACATTGACCTTTGGATTTCAGTTCAATCAAAGCTTGGCTGCTGTCACATTGCCAAGTGGCCTGCAGACTTTGACTTTTGGGGTTGAGTTCAATCAGAGTTTGGCAGGTGTCACATTGCCAAGTGGCCTGCAGACTTTGACTTTTGGGGCTAAGTTCAATCTCAGTTTGGCAGGAGTCACATTGCCAAGCAGCCTGCAGACCTTGACCTTTGGGGATAAGTTCAATCAGAGTTTGGCAGGAGTCACATTGCCAAGCAGCCTGCAGACGTTGACGTTTGGAAGTCTGTTCGATCAGAGTTTGGTAGGTGTCACATTGCCAAGCAGCCTGCAGACCTTGATATTTGGTCGGCACTTTGATCAGAGTTTGGCAGGTGTCATATTGCCAAGTAGCCTGCAGACCTTGACCTTTGGGCATGAGTTCAATCAGAATTTGGCAGGTGTCACATTTCCAAGCAGCCTGCGGACCTTGACTTTTGGTTGGGTGTTCGATCAGAGCTTGGCAGGTGTCACATTGCCAAGCAGCCTGCAGACCTTGACCTTTGATTTTCTGTTCAATCAAAGCTTGGCTGGTGTCACATTGCCAAGTGGCCTGCAGACCTTGACCTTTGGGCATTGGTTCAATCACAGCTTGGCTGGAGTCACATTGCCAAGCAGCCTGCAGACTTTGACTTTTGGGGTTGAGTTCAATCACAGTTTGGCAGGAGTCACATTGCCAAGCAGCCTGCAGACCTTGACGTTTGGAAGTCTGTTCGATCAGAGTTTGGCAGGTGTCATATTGCCAAGCAGCCTGCAGACCTTGACCTTTGGAGATCTTTCGGTCAAAGTTTCGCAGGTACCACATTAATCCAAGCAGCCTGCAGGCCTTGACTCATTTTTTCGCTGTTGAATATATATTTGTGTGGACTCCTTTCATTGTCTACATGGTTTGCGACAAATTTGTTGGTGTGGAATAGACGGCAGGTTGAGTATGTCATGTTTCATTGACGGATGCACTACTTGGACCTTTCTGAAGACCAAAAACGGGGAGATGGGAATGGGAAGGACTGTTTGCAGCTTAAACAAACACCGTGTACCTTTCAATATCCAAAACATTCCGAGCCATTGGGGTCCCGTTCCTACACTACTTGCCTGTGCAACATTGATATTTTTGTTGGCGGCTGCAGCCGAACTTAAAGTGTGTTTGCTGGCCAATTTCATAACTTGATAGGTACATTTCCCTTCAGTATCCTTTCAGTCGTGTACCATGCCTCCATTTGATGCAATGTGTCGCCAATTATATCATATTA